TGGAATTAAGGAGACACTTCATAACAGTGAGGACAATTAACCAGTGGAAAAGCTTGCCTTCAGAAGTTGTGGGTGCTCCATCACTGGATGTTTTTAAGAAGAGACTAGACAGTCACTTATCTGAAATGGCATAGAATCTCCTGCTTGAGCAGGATGTTGGATTAGAAGACCTCCCTTCCATGATATTGTATGTTCTATCATATTTGGCTTTTTAAATAATAAACCAACACTTTGATTTGTATCCAGAACCAAACTGGTAGTACTGGCAATATTGTTGTGGCATTGCTAGGATAGCTTGGATTCACCAGCACGTGGATTGCTATTCTGTTAAACTTTAAATTAGTCTGCAAGGGATAAATTAAAGTTCATTGCAGTAATCCAAATTTAAAATAATAAGAGCATGGGTAGTTGTTGCTAGGTTTTTCTACTTTAAAAGCATGTAACTAATATACCAGTTGAAGCTGAGCAAAGAACAAGTTGGCCACGATTCTATCTGCTTCTTTAACAGGAGCTGTGAGTGGAAGAAGGTGCTGAAATTGTGTCCTTGATCATTTCATGGGATTATGACTGTCTACGGAGTTACGGTAGATACTACTAATAACCCCAAGTCCCAAAGGCACTTTTTCACGAGGCAACTGGACTTTCTATTTTTTCTTTGAAGACATTTTGCGTCCCATCCAAGAAGCTTCTTCAGGTCTTCAAAGAAAAACCAGAAAGTTCAGTTGCCTTGTGAAAAAGCACCTTTGGGACAACCATGACCTTGGATGCCTGAGAATCTCCATAGACATTAACAATCTCAAGGTTTTTTGTATAAGCAAGCAGTTCTTTTTCTGAGATTCTCAATTTTAGTCAGTTTCATTCCTATTCAAATCCTTACATCTTCCAGACCCTGAAAATCTACTGCATCTTCTGCCTGTCCTAGATGGAATGATAGACTGAATATCATCAGCCTATTGATGACCGCATCTCTTTTTATTTTTTATTGTAAATTAAAATAATATACTGAAAGTAACACAAATATTTTTAAGTTAAATGATATGAAAGAGAACATCAGACTGTATCTCACAAAAGCATAAGTGATACTTCTCCAGGATACGTCCAAACTTAGTCTTGTCATTATGTCCATTTGTATTCAGATGTTGTTGGGTTATTTTAACTGCATAACTGCCAATCTGCAGGGGTGGGCTTCAAAAATTTTAGCTAGGGGTTCTCTGCCCAGTTGCTGGGTGGGCGTGGCCTAGTCAACCTCCTGTACTATGGTGGGGGGGGCATTTTTGTCCTCCCTGGACTCCAGAGGCTTTCTTTGAGCCTCTGGGATGGCGAAAACAGCCTCCCCAGTCTCCGGAGGCCACAATCAGGCCTGTTTCCAGCCTTCCAAACTTCCGGTAGGCCTGTTTTTCACCCTCCCTGAGCCTCCACACGCATCCTGCACTTACCTACATCCAAAACGGGCTGTGAGGGGACTCCTGGGAGGGGCAGGGCAGGGTGGGTGGGGCCAGCCAGGAGTGAAATTTGGGGGTTCTCCGAACTGCACAGAATCTTAGCTAGAGGTTCTCCTGAACCCCTGCGAACCCCCAGCAGCCCACCCCTGCCAATCTGACATCGTTTTCTCCATTTCATCTTTGAAGTTCCTCCAATTTCCTCCATTTGGTTCCAGTTATCTAGTTTTATCTGTAGTTGATTACCTGTCCGGTTTTCTTGCCTCTAACCATCTGCCTCATAACCTACTGGTTCCTTTTACTTGGGAAGAATTGTTTTCCATTCTAAACATATAACCAAAAGGATTCAATTTAATTTTCTTGACTTCAGCTCTGATATATGATTATCCTGTATCCTAATTTCACCTTTTCAGTCTTTTTATTCTGTACAGACTTGATTTAAGAATCTAATATAGCACTTTCTTCCAGCAAATGTCAACTGCTATGGGGAGAAACAGGTAGCTAGGGGTTAGAAATATATATCACAATAGATTACAGCAATTCTTCAATCCTTTTTGATTCGCATGTTTTCTAGACCACTAAAATATCATACAAAGACTTTAAGAAAATGTGATAAATGCTTTAAACGCTTATGGCTCAACCATTTTTTCTGCTTCTTGTTCTCATTCCATTTGAAAAAAAATTACTTAGAACTTTCTTTTAATAGAGAAAGTGATTTTTTGAGACATTCTTATGGGTTCCAGAAACACTGATCTTTGCACCTTTTATCCTATTGATCAGCAGAAATATTAAGAATTGAGACAGCAAGAAGAAACTCCCACTTAGTCTCTGCTTTACTTTCCTTTTATTGGAAGGCTGATACGCTTAGATATATTTCATGCAATTAGGGCCCTGATTGAATGAAAAGTAGTGGATGTTAAAAAAAAAAGCTTCCCTCTTCCAGATATTAATGCTGGATCTGAAGTTACCAAAGGCAAAGATAAGATAATTAGTGTTGCCCCATGTTCATGTTGTCTGCATGTGTGGATATAAATTGTGGGGTTGCTGGTGCTCCCTGAGCTTGGTGGTTTTCTTGCAGACATTTCATTACCAAATTAGGTAACATCATCAGCGCTAGAGGGGAATGGGGTTCACTCTTATTGCATATAAATTGTAAAAAGACAGAGTTACATAAAATAACATGATTCCAAAGGCAAAGCAAAGGAACACCTATTGATTGCAGCTCCTTTGCTTTCAGGAATCTTAGGCACCAAGAGGAACTAGATAAGAGACAAGGATTGTTGTTGAGGATTTGGGAAATCTTGGAGCCAGGAGATTTGGGGAGCTCAGACTGGGGCTGGGGCAGCTAACAAGAAATTCTTTGCGTCTTAAAAAAGAACGTGCACACATCTTCAGGCGTTTATGAGTGTCTCCCTGTTTTCATTTCTGCATAGGTGTGCAAACAAGCATATATTTGCATTTGCATTGCATTTTGCAAGATGGAGATTGGTTCAGAAATGTTGGTGATGTTTATTTACACATTTGATTTAACCATATCTCCAGTGGTAGAATTCAAATAATTTAACAACCGGTTCAACCATGTGTCAGGTTGGCTGTCGTGGGATGCATAGCCTATCCCTTTCCTCTAGCTCTGTTGCACATGCGGGATGAGCCTCCTGTGATGGCCAACCTGACCCTGGGCAAACCAGTTGTTAAATCCCCCCACCCCACCCCACCCGCTATCAAAGTGGATCCTGGGCGCTGCACTGTGCTACAATGGAGAAACAGGCAATGGAGTGGCCCCCATGAGAGAAGGAGGAGGGAAAGTGGCCTTCTCTTTCTCTTGTGCCAGCTGCTCCATTGCCTGTTTCTCCATTGCAGTGCAGCGCAGTGCCTAGGATCCACTTTGATAGCGGGGAGGTGGGTAATTTAACAACCGGTTTGCCCAAACTGGTACAAACCGGCTGAATCCCACCATTGCATATCTCCCAATCCTCCCTTTTCAAAATCAGATCTTTGGAGTGATCCTGGTGCTCTTGAACTATTTATTGAGTCCTGATTTCCACTGAAAACGGAAGTATTCTTGAAACTGACAGAGCTGGTAAAACAGGAAGGCATCACCATTTGAACACTGATAATAGAACAGAACTGCAGTGAAAACTGCCAGCTCCTATTCAAAAAAATGGATGCTGCTCCTGAGTTACTGCAGATAAGAAATATTTTTTCCTCTTAAAAGAAAATCTATAATTATAACTAAGGAAATAGAATAATACTCATATCATTATCCACTCATCATTGCTTCCTCAAGCCAGTGTCTGTCAGTTATTGACAACTGTTAGCATACCAATTATATAGTGATCATTAGCTAAGTGTCCTAAATCTCATTTGTCATTACTTTCCTCCATTTCTCAGTAATAGAGCCATCTATTCTAATAGCTTCCCCAAGGTGCTGTACAGTTTGTTATTATCTATTTAGCTCAAGGTTGATGATATATATATGAGTTCCAGAAGGTTGTATTTCACACTGACATAAAGGCATTTAATCAATAAAGGGTGGATGGGTGGGAAATCCTTTTTACCAAAGTGTACCTCACCTGGCTAAATTATTAGCAGCAGGGAGCCTGAATTTGTTATTGTTCTGATCAAGTCCTGCTGAAATTATAAGAAACATACCGTGGAAATGTGGTTTTTGGTGGAACCTGGAATGAATGAAATAGAATTAAATGAAATTTAATTAAAATTTCAGAATTAAATTTCAGAACTAAATGAAATCGAATTAAATAAAATAGCACCAAAAGGCAAGACATAAGACATACTTTCCAATAATGGTTGGAAAGTAACCTAGAACTAAGGAGGAATTTTCTAATGGTGAGAACAATTAACCAGTGGAACAACTTGCCTTCAGAAGTTGTGGCAGCTCCATCACTGAAGGCTTTCAAAAAGACTGGCAACCATTTGTCTGAAATGGTATAGGGCAGGGGTGTCAAACTTAAGGCACACAGGCCAGATTTGGCCCGTGGGGTACTTACCCTGTTTCCCCCAAAATAAGACATCACCTGATAATAAGCCCAATCGGGCTTTTGAGCGCATGGCAATAAGGCCAAGCGCTTATTTCAGGGTTCAAAAAAAATATAAGACAGGATCTTATTTTCGGGAAAACATGGTAGATCTTGCCTGTGGGGCTGCCTTAGAAACAGCAAAGGATATGCCTGACGGTCCTCCTGAGCTCCGTTTTCACTGGCAGAGCACTTGGGCTACCACAGGCACCCCTGACACGAGTGACTTTAAGCTGGCCATGCCCCCCCTTGCCATGCCCCCCACCCAGGTCAAACACAACCCTGATGCGGCCCTCAATGAAATCAAGTTTGACACCTCTGCAGCCCTCAATGAAATCATACCACAAGTTTGATACCACATAGGAACAGGAGTCCCTATACCCCTGGTATAGGGACTCCTGTTCAAGCAGGGGGTTGGGCTAGAAGACCTCCCAGGTTCCTTCCAACTCTATTATTCTATGTTCTATGTTCTATGAATTTGCATTTCAAAATTCAAGTCTTCTGAACTCTGTTGCTGTATTTACAGCTGCATGCCAAGCTACACTGGAAGAAACTGTGAGGAAGTAATTGACTACTGCAGGTTACTCAGCATCAGCTGTCTGAATGAAGGATTGTGTCTCAATATAATTGGAGGATTCAGTGTAAGTAATTTAATATGGTAAATAAATTTCTGGGGTTTGAAAAACAGGAAAACTTCAACCATAATCTGAGAAATATATTATCTGTTGGAGAATCAAAAAAGAACAACACATTGATGTATTTGTTATATATATATACATTTCACTCAGTAACACAAGAAGCATTCACTCAGGTAATATGGATTTTTACTTGGTTATCTGTTAGGATAATTAGATATCAGTTTTACCCTTGAAAGAATATGTGGCTAATCTTTGGAGCCACCCCCCCCCATTCCCACTGAGATAAAACTTTGGTAATATAATATTAATTCTACGTAAAGGGGGAAGAAAACCCTTTGTGGACAGATCTTTGCATTTTTCACCAAAATTTAGTTGGTAACTTAATCAAGCACTTAATCCAAAAAATTGTAGGGAATAAATCGTATTTCATCTTTCATGACCACACTTCAGTAAAGGATTGAATCATGTTGCTTTCCATTTCTGTCTGGCATGCATGGGGATTAAAAATAAGCGAGAGAAAGAAATAATAGTGAGGATAGCTCTTGAAAGGGTAAAATTGATTCCTTGTGAATTTGGCCTGTGCCCTGACTAGGACTAAGTCCTATTCAAATGATGTGGAGGAAACAATTGGAGGCTTATCTTCCTTAAATGCATCTGCTGTGCTTGGAGTTTTCTGTAGGTTTTGTCAGGTCTTACAAACATGAGTGTAACAGACAGCCCTCTTGTTGCTTAAAAAAAAAAAAACTTGTTCAGCAGTCATGAGTAAAAAATAACTCTGAGTACCACAAGGAGTCGGAAATTTATTCCTTCATCTTTCAGTACCAGATCAGACATTTCTTCAGCCCTGGCTGAGGGCAAAATTCACTCAGTTATCATGCTTGTGGCGTACTACCTAGGCTGTTTAAGAGTTTAGTGCTTTTTGGAAGAAATAGCATGACTGACAGGTGCAGAGAAGGGATTACATGAAGCAAGAAAGAAGGGAAGTTTGTCTCTTGACCACCTACCATCCTTTTAGTCCAATCCTGTCTCACCACAAATTAAAGGGAGTGATCAGTGGTTGTTTTTCTTAAAAACATTTTTTATTAAGTTATTAAGTGTTATAAAATACAAAAGTAAATAAAAGAGCAGTGAGGAGGGAGGGGAAAGGGGAAAGAGAAGTGAGGAAAGGTATGGAAAAGAAAAGAAAAAGAAGCATTGACTTCCGACTCTCTCTGTTGCAGTAGATTCAGGCATTAGCATCAAATCACAGCTTTTTGCTTTTCCATAATAAAATGAGCAAGTCATTTCTATAAAGATCTATCAGTCTAATCTAAAAAACCCAAAGTCAAAGTTACGTTCTTTTCCACCTCAAGTACGAAATTCAGAAGTGGTTTCCATGTGGAAACAAAAGTACTTATGTTCTTTTCTTTAATCAGAATCAGCGGTTGTTTTTTAGACTGGAATGAGATGCTGGGTAAGATGGGAAAGCAAGCCAGGGAAATGGCTTAAATGTCTCACATTAAATCACTGAGGACAGCATCATTTGCCAGCTTTATTGCTGGGAAATAAAAAGATTATTGGAAGACGTATAGCTTAAACTGGCATAATTTTCTTCAAATTCAAGGAAAAGTCTATTCCCCCCCCCCTAATTTACAAGAAACAAAACTTTAATAGACCAATAACTTACATGAATTGGTATATGGATGTGTCAAATTGTGGAAGGCCAAACATCTTACCATTCCTTTAAAGCTGCATGGATGTCCCTAAATGCCTCTGTCAAAAGGAGTGGGAAACAATTTGAGAGAAATCTGTAAAAGGCTTAACTCATGATATATATTCTTTGTAATGTCACAGGGCAAAAGGGTAGTCTAATGTTCCTTGACTGCTCTCATCTTAAGAGAGAGCATATCTTCATCATTCTGTAAGTAATCTTCAAATTGCGCAGCCGAAGGGCAAATATAAAGTGTCTTAAGAGAGAGAAAAAAATCTTTAAAAGTGAGAAATTAAAATGTGATACGGCAAATGGTAAATAGCCTATTAAATTGAACTTCTAAAATGGAAATCCATTCGTCAAGTCATCTTCAGAAGTTCGATGCAGAGCTAATACGGAAGCACATAAGACACCCTGCCTCTTGTAATAATGAACAAATTGCCATCCTTTTTTTGGCTGTTATTAGCAAGAATGTTTTTGAGAAGGATTTGAGAAGGATTTTAAAAGCTACTGCTGGCTACTGCTTAGAAAAAAAAAATTAAATCTCAGTTGAGAAACCAGGGAAAAACAAATCCTTATGCTATCTGGTAAACAGACCCTAACCCTGAAAGATCTACCAATTTCACAAAATCCTGCTGCATTAACATTTACGAGTTAATATTGATTTACCAATTGTTATTACAATGCCCGGCACTGATGAACTTCATTTTGTTTCTCAACAGCTGTAAAACTGTAAATACCGTTGTCCTTTGAAGTTAATCTTGACAGATCATCTTTGCTTAAAGCTTAATCGCATTTCCTTTTCTTTTATCGCTAGAGTAAATCGTACAGTACCGAATATGCTTCTTGTCTAGCAGGGGGGTTTTGGTGGAAATGTCATGTTACAAAACTGAAAAATGATTCGCTTGTGGTACCTTGACTCTGGAAGAGAATCTCAAAGGAAGACCTTCTGGATGTCTTTAAAACAGACCCTGGGAGACTTTATTACTTTAAATACATTTTTTCTAATTCTTCTGTTCTTATTCATTTGATTCCTAAAAAAGTTTTCTTGCCCGTAATATTTCATTTCATTTATAATCTACCTACAGTATGATTTATGAGGAAAGAAGGTGTAAAAATGCTGAAATTAATAGCATACTGTATCTGGGTGTAATAATGCCCAAAGGACTTCTTTTCTGCACAATGCCTTCAAGATGAACTTATTTTAAGAGATTAAAACACAGAACTGTCCTCCTTGAATTCTTCCCATGCCTTTCAAATTTATTTTAAAATGTTACTGTTTCCCAAAAAAGCTTATAAATATTTATACCGAGGGAAGAAAAATAATAATAAATCACAGCAAAAGAATGCATAAGGGCAAGCAAACTGCAAAATCTTTTTAAAACAGCTTGACAAAATGAGATGTTTTCATAAATTTTGAATCTTCCCTGGAAGACATATCTAGCTGGCCTTGTCTGAGCATATATATCCTTCCACCATTCTGTGTCACTGTAGCCAGTAGATTGAATGGAAACCAGGGGTGAAATCCAGCAGGTTCTGACAGGTTCTGGAGAACCGGTAGTGGAAATTTTGATCAGTTTGGAGAACCGGTAGTGGAAATTTTGAGTAGTTCAGAGAACTGGCAAATACCACTTGTGGCTGGTCCCAGAGTGAGGTGGGAATGGAGTTTTTGCAATATCCTTCCCCCAGGAGTGGGGAGGGAATGGGGATTTTGCAGTATCCTTCCCCTGCCACATCTACCAAACCACACCACACCCACCAAGCCATGCCCACAGAATCAGTAGTATAAAAATTTGGATTTCACTACTAATGGAAACTGACCGAAAAGCCAAAGTATTTGATCTTATAAATAATGAAAGGTGCCATTGTTCTGGGACCATGTTATGTCCCACGTATATTTTATTATTGAGTAAAAGACTTAAGCACAAGGAAATTGATAAGGCTTCTTCACTTCAACCATAGATAGAGTTATAAATGTTTTCTGCTGGTTAAAGACCTAAAAGCAGGCCATAAAATGTCAGCAAATTGCCAAGGAAAGAAGATAACATTGCCCATTGTTGTCTAAAGATTGGATCAAGGCAACTGGACCAAACTTTGTGAATCTGAGTTGTTTTGTTGCTCATCCAAGCAATTTCATCAGTCAGAGCAAAATTAGTTAGAGAGTCAGAGAGTTGTTAGAATATACCAAATCTTGCCACACCAACTTTAGGGCTTTCTCCCCAAAAGGGCTTGCAATATGTCAATGAAGACTCAATCATCCAAGCCAAAGGTATCTGAAGGTTAAATCATGGCAACTGGACCATACTTTGTAAATCTGAGATGTTTCATTGCCCATCCAAACAATTTCATCAGTCAGTGCAAATTTACAAAGCTTGGTCCAGTTGCCATGTTTCAACCTTTAGATGCCTTTGGCCTGGATGATTGAATCTTCATTGCCATATTCCCCATTGTTTTTTCAGTGAAAAACAATTAAGCTAAGTGTGTAAACCTTCTTTTAGAAGTTAAGTCACCAATATACACTTAATGAAACATTATGTACAATGACCTCCGAAAGTCTTTTGTGCCAGGTTAATCAAAAATTGTTTTCCAGGTTCTTAAATCCCAAGAAAATAATGAATGTATTCAGCATATTATTTAGCACACTCAGTTTGTTAGAATGATGCCATTAGTATAAAGACATTTCTAGATAGTAAGATGGAAGAGGAAAACTACCTGCATCTCTTAGTTGTCTGTAAGTTTCAAATTACTGCTTTCATATAAACAAAACAAACAATAGGTTCTGTTTTTAAAGTGTCTCTACACACCCTATGATTGTTATGTGCCCACCCACAGTACAAGCAATATGTATCGCTGCTGATAAATGTTCATGCGGTATTACTTTGAACTTGCTGCTCAAAGTCACTTCCGTATTCATTTGCTAGCAGTAATTAGTCTGTTTTCTGTGACAAAAGGCAAGTAACACTCCCTGTAGGAATTGCTTAGAAAGATAACATTTTAGAGTTGGTTGTGCAGTTTACAAAATCTATTGCATGCTATATGATTTGGGATTTCAAAGTCATCAGAAAATGCTGCTGACTTCCAAAGATCTGAGACCTTCTATTCGTCAATCCGGAGCTCTTTTATTGGCTGCCAAGACCTTTCCTGGAGGCCTCTGATAACTAAACGAGGCCAGGGGTCAGCAGGCATGTCAATCTTGAGCCCATTTCTCAGCTGCAGATGGCTTTCCTGAAGGCCTCTGACAGTGAAATGGCGGCCGGGGAGACACACGCAAGTAGCAGCAAGTGGCTCCAGAAGAAGGGGCCAGAAGGGCGAGGCCTGGCTGCAACTAATAAGCAGCTCCAACGCACCCCACCCATCCTCACCCTCACTTGATTTTTACCAGTGCACCTCGCCCCACCCCCTGAAACCAGGTGCAATGGAGTGGGCTGGTTTTTAAGTAGGGTTTATTTTGGGGGTAGGGCTTCTATTGGGGTCACGTGTAAATATCAAGCTAGGGCTTATTTTCAGGATAGGTCTTATTTTCAGGAAAACACAGTAGTGTTTAAGTAGCAGGACATTTCATTGTAGTAAGTAATCTTTTATTCACCCTCTTATGAAGACAAAACAAGTTTTAGACAAAGAAGGTGAAGATGCAAGAAATCAGCCCATGGCTATTATTACTCTACCTGAATTTGGCAGAGGAGGGGCAGACAAACTGACAGCTGGTATGCCATGTGGCATGTCACAAAAATTTTGGATATCCAACCTATCTTCACTCTTCCTGCCCCAAAGGATGCTAAATGCATGCATCCATTCATTACAAAGGCCAACGTAATTGAGCAGCTCTAAATGGCATAATATGTCCCAAACCTCCCTAGAAACCTTTGTGCTGTCTTTTTTCTTAGCAAGAAGAGAAAGCCAATTCCATTTTTGACAACTGTATGGTTACTGGGGCCTTTGTAAAAAACAAAAAACATGCAACAATTATATCATTACCACTTCAGTTACTCAGATTATGGGGAAGTGCAGCAGGAGATCAGCAGGTGCAGCAAGAATAGAGCTGCCAGATGGCTGTTAGATGAATTTGTTAAGGAAAATAAACAATTCCTGACAACTTTCCTTCAGATCTAATACTGGACAGGCCAATTGGGAAACAGACTTCAACAGATGAATTGCCCAGCTGCCCAATATGGAAAAAAAACCCAAAAACCCAGGGCAGGATAACCCTTCCTTTCTATCAACTATTTGGATTGCAGGTGCTGCTTTGCAGAAAATTGAATTAAGCATCTTTCCAATACTGTACAAATCCATATACCTCCCCCCTGGTCTCAGAGGAAGGATGGTATTCCTCACTAGTACTTACAAGCGAATAAGCCTTGCTTAACCTGATAGCAAAGTGGGCATGGAGGGAGAGGTTAGCATATATTCGCTCCGAGCCAACAGATGATTTTGATTTTGATTTAACACTTCTCTTCAGTTTAAGAAACTGGACAATTTCGTTGTGATTTTTTCATTTTTTAAGGGGTCTTGTGTCTATATCAGAATGGGTTTCACTTACCTTTGCTACTGGTTCGGAATTGTGAGCATGAGGTGCTTCTGTGCAGAGAAGTGATGACATCCGGGCAGGTGGGCGGAGCCTCCCACCACTGCTGCTACTGGTTGCCCACCACTGGTCTGTATATGTACAGTATATGCATGCATACATGCATCTTCAAACAGTATTGACTCCTGACAACTTCCTGATTAGTCCCTGAATTTTTCTTGGCAAGGTTTTTCAGAAATGGTTTGCCCTTGTCTTCTTCCAAGGGCTGAGAGAGAAGGACTGGCCCAAGGTCACCCAGTTGGCTTTATGCCTAAAGTGGGACTAGAACTTCCGGTCTCCCATTTTCTAGTCTGATACCACCTCAATGTCTTAATCACCAAATTCTAAGGTATAATAGCTTAACAGGATGATAATAATTTCTTGAGGAAACTAAGAAAAATCAATGACAAGCTTTCACAGGTTTGAATACTGTTACTATTCTATTACCATTTTTTTTTCCTTTTTATTATTCTGGTTTTTTTGTGCTTTGATCTTTGAGAAAGGTATTTTTCTTAGATATTTCGACAGTTAATCATTACCTTACAATTCCACAAATATAGCCCTGGTCCAAAATTACAGAAGCCATAATTGCTATTGTTTGTGAAAAAAATAAAATGTATTATTCATATTATCCAAAGCAAATGTGCACACATAGAGATGTGCACAACATATCTCATAAGATTTGAAGAACAGCTTGGATAACAGGTCTCTTCTAGAGTGTATTTTTTAAAAAACTGTTCCAGTTGTGAAATGCTTATTAATACTTTATAAAGTAGTTGATACAGTAAATAAAAATAGCCATCTTTCCTCTTATTTACTGAATATTAAACTAAATGACTTACAGTAAATGAGTTACAGTTAGTTTCAAACCCTTCTTTGGGTTAAAGAATGGGTTTTGTACCATTTGATTAATAGATTGTAGGTTGTTTTTGTTCTTTGTTTCTTTTTCTTTTTCTCACTCCCCAATAGCATTTCAGCCTTCCAACAAGGAAGATGCCAAATTTTCTTCCTTCCAACAAGGAAGATGCCAAATTTTCTTCCTTCCAACAAGGAAGATGCCAAATTTTGCTGCACCTTAGTAGAGATGATAGGTGCTTTACTGTCCTTTTAATTTGGTTCTTTTTAACATTTTTATTCAACCTTGATTCAAAGTTCCATTCCTTCAGGCTAAATTCTCAGTGGAATATACAAAAAAAGAGAGGTTTCTTTGAGATCCATCTTCTTATTTAAAAAAAGACAGGCATCTTAAGACAAAGATCAGAAGTGTTACATTAATGCCCATTTCATGCTGAAGTTAGATTTTGGCAACTGCCTCCTGGGGCTTTGCCAAACTCATATCAAATAAATATATGTAACTTTTTTTGGTGTGATGCCAGCCCATCCTCCTTACAAAAGGATATTGAGATTTATGTCTGATTAAAAACAAGTGATAGGAAGAGCAATGAGTTCTGTTCATATACAGCTTTGCAGAATAAAATTGTTACTGCATCATTTCTACTTTTAACCAAGTCAAACTTTCCCCTTCCATTTTCTCCTGAACTACTTACTAGCCATGGTTCCCAGAGAAAATTATAAATTGCTGTATCAAAATTTAATAAATCCTAAAATCTAACCATTGTGAAATATAGGAAATAATTTAATTCAATTTCCAGCATAATAAAAATATAAACAAAAGATCAGAAATCACATAGGAAATAAAAATGGTACTAGTCAAATTTTGGGAATGGTAATTAAAAAATTGATATGGCAATTAAAAAACTATGGTAGATCCATTGGAAAGTCCCAAAATATGCCCACTAGGAATTAATAAGAGTTTTTATAAGAAACTGAAAACAATTTTTTCAGTGATCTGTCATTTTAATCTCCAAATGTTGAGAGGGAAAAATGTGAAAATTTGACAAGTGATGCATCAACAAGGAGTTATGTAAATATGCTGAAATTAAATCTGAATTTATATCACAGCACATTCACATTGGTGCCATTTCCAGACTATATACATATCATATAACTTAGAATAAATTCTGATGCTTGCTTTAAAAGTTTCTCAGTGAATTTGAATAAATTTGGATTGAGATAATCTAAAGATCACAACAACATACAAGTTTAAATTACAGCACACAATGAAATTTATGTTGGAAATTCTGTAATCCCAAGTGATTTCAAAATGGAAAGCAGAATTGGACCTGGTCAGTTCATAGACTGGAGTCTTCCAGGACATATTAGGCAATAAATTGGAAAGTTAAAAAAAAAAAATCTCAAGAAAGCGATGCTAAATCATTCACATATTGTTGCCAAGAAAATCCCTATTATATATTCATCATGAACTGAATTTCATTAGAGGAATGTTTTAGCCCAGCTAGTCAACCTTAGCTAATATTAAAGAGTTAAGCAGGTTGAATTAGTTAATTCTTGACTGCGGAACCATCAGCATAAGGACTATAATGAGTGGGTTCTACTTACCTTTACCACCGGTTCACAGCGGGAAGCTTCTGCGCATGTGCAGATCACTGATGATGATATCCCGGGCGGTGGGCGGGGCTTCCCACCAGTTTTACTACCAGTTCTTGCGAACCGGTCCAAACCGGGGGCAGCCCACCACTGGACTATAAGATTTATAAATAATCTGGAATTATTTTTTTAAAAAGGTATCCTTGAATATAGTCATATCAAACAATTTTGATAATGTTGCCAAGATAACAGCATGGATGCATCCATGAAATTTCCAGGAGTGAAGCCAAGATCAAGGTATAAGTTTTATCTTTAAGTATCTATGCTCAGAATGAAATCCTAAACTATCTTCTGGAATTTAATGCCTTGGAAATATATTTAAAATTCTTGATCTAAATCATATTTCAGTGAGCTGCTATCACAGTTTGTCATCTGTCACTAATATTCCTATGTAATAAATTTAAGCAGACATGATGTTTATTAATTGTCTACGTGAATATCCTAGTTCAATTAACCTTTGTTCCTTCTTTAAGCTATAATATCAGATAAGTTATTCAACCAAATTATTTCCTTCTCTTTAGTGCCTCTGTGCTCCTGGATGGACTGGACAATTTTGCCAATTTGTAGAAAATCCCTGCTTAATTTATCCAGCCAATTGCCACCCTGGAGCTACTTGTATTGATATAAGCCAATCAAAGTTGCAACCACAGACTAAATGCTTGTGTCTACCTGGTTTCACAGGTAAGAAAGATTTCTCTTTTTTTTTTCTCTAAGGGGAAAAAGTACTTTAGCGCTTAGAAGTGTTATGTGTTATGTTTACTTGTAATCAGAAATAAATATACATTTTTGGGGGGAAAAACCCACCTGAATGTGTACAGAATGCTATTTTAGTGTAAAAAACTAGAAGACATTCTTAAATATTATTTTTAGTGAGCTCATGCTGAAGTAGCAGGAAGTCTGTATCTTGCTTTTTGCACAAAAAGCTAATAATAATAAATTGCTGAGTGATAAAGTACATGTCAGGCTTCATTCATGATTGATAATACCATTTTATATTATGCCATCCCTTCAAGGTTACTCAGTCCATATGTGTGTTGTACATTAATGACAGTAATTCAATTTGGGCAGTTAAGTGCGGGATCAAAAAAAAAATTCATACAATTATATGAGACTTTAAAAGGTGATCAATTCCATCTGCTTCCTTTTGGACAAAGATAATTGTATCTACATTTATCTCTTAGATGGAATCTGTAATGCCTGCGTGAAAAGGGGACATTCTTGCTGCAGGACAAATTAGATGCTATTTTCTCTTTGCTTATTTACCACACTTAACTTTCTTACACACACTGCGTAGCTCTGATAAGAAGAACATGTACATTTTGATAGTGTTAATTCGACAGCTTACATTTATGAAAATCTATCTCTTTTACCGTGTCCTGCAAAAGCTACTTCTTAAAATAAAGCTGGAGAATTAACTTGTATTCTGAATTTTGGTTTAAAGGAATTGGTGGGATATGACTTTTAAATATAATTTATACACTAAGTCCTGTCAGTTACACATAGATACATTCAATCCAAGTAAGTATGCTGCTGGCCTGCAGACTAAAATCCTCTGCACCATTGTGTGGCTGTGTGCCCCATTAAACTCCAGAGCCATAAATAAGATTTTTATGTCAAGTTCCATCTGTGCTACTGCCCCATCTTACATTTCTTCAGTTAATTTCCCTTCCATTACATGAAGAGTCATTCCTATTCTGGTCTGTTTTTTACACTATCAGTCCTCCAGTGTCCTGTAGCACATGGAAATCCAAGAATGAATTACAGAATAATTGATAGCAGGCAGTGTCTTACCTGATTTATTCATGGTTCTGTCACCACACCAGCCTGCCTTCTGTGCTAGAAATCTAGGACGTTGGATCAGTTTTAATTACCGTGAGCCGATACTGGGCATCTCTCTGTATTTTTAATGAACGTTAATATTAAAACTGCTCTGAGGGTCTTACTATAGCCACAATGGTACAATGAACAGAACAGAATTGAATAAAATGGAATAAAATATGTTCTATGGTCAGGCAAGACTGCAACTGGATTTCCAACCTTAAGACAGACTGTCCCTGTGGGACTGCTCCAATTTTCCCCCCCTGTTCTTAAAGTTTTATAACATGAAAGTTATCAGTGAAGAAAAAGAAAAGAGAGCTAGAGAGAAGGGAAAAGGAAGAAGAGATTGAGAGAACATGTGCTGTGTAGTACAGGCTGGGTCTCAAGGTTGGAAAGACTATAAACCACTATATCAGGTGAACATGATTCAAGCTGCAATCTTAAACAAAGATATTTAGCAGGATGTCTAATTTAAATAAATAAGATTTACTTGTAGGTAGACCACTGATTACTGTGAATGAAGAATGCACTTTGCTGAACATGTGCTTCACATGAATGATCAATGTCCAGCAAAGACCGCAATCAATTGGATACTACCAAATGGTTGTAGAAAATGAGGAAGGCCAAAGAAAACTTGGTGCCAAATATTTCAGGAAGATCTGAAAAACAGATCCCTCTATTTTGCAGAGGGATCTGCAAATAAATAGAGGGATGCAGAGTGTAGCTGTGGACCAAGAACTGTGGAGTATCCCAATGAGCTTTGCAAAGGATGTGAGAATACCATGCATCTAACATAAGATGTGAAGAAACCTGAATAGGATAACAGTGTGCATGCACTTATGCATGTGTGTGTATGTGTGTGTGTTTGTGTGTGTGTTTCCCTAAAAATAGAACCGGGTCTTATATTAATTTGTGACCCAAAAGACACATTAGGGCTTATTTTCCAGTTAGGTCTTATTTTGGGGAAAATACAGTACTAAATGTGTGTGTCTGGCTGACAGTCTTATTTTGGGGGTAGGGCTTATATTATGTGCATCCTGAAAAATCATGCTAGGACTTATTTTCAGGTTGGGTCTTATTTTCAGGGAAACAGGGTACATAAATACATATACATATAGTTTAATTTTAGTTTTATAGTTACATGTTATTTAAATGTAAACTTTCATTTCAAGGGATGATGACAAGGTCAGCCTTATTTTCAAGATATCAAAATAACATAGCTGGTCTTGTAAATTGATAGGATTCCATTCCAGGTTAGTTGCTCAAGAATGATTACTCTTTTACCAGACCTCCCAACTTAACCTATTGAAATGAATGTGTAGAACACCGGCTGGGGAAGATTAACCTTGAAATAAAAAATAAATGCAGTGTTAAGAGGAGAAATACAACCAACATCTGGTTTATAATGATTTTCTATTCAATCTCATTGTATCTGAGGCTTAGTTCATGCCTGAAGTAGAAATTTTGGAAGTGAAATGAGACGGAGTAGTCAGAGAAACTAAATAACGGATCAAAATACTTATTGAAATACCCCTTCTCCCCTCTCTATCTTGGCTATGAGTTGATAAGCTGCTCAGGTTTATTTGGTTATGATAAATCATAAATCAAATTGTGAATTGACTTTATTTTAAATTTGGGTCAGGTGTTCAGTAGAATACTATAAAGATAGGTGTTAATCCAAATGTTACTTAGCATTTTTATTAATGAACTGGAAGTCTGTCTAAGCAGTACATTATTCATATTCAACCTGTTACACCAAAATGGAGGTGTGATAGAGGGTTGTGCCTTGAATGTGTCTAATATACAATCTAGCGATATCAACCATTATACCAAGTACTTTTAAAATTGTAAGACATAAGTATAAGGGTTTGCATAACCTCTCACCGGTATCTGAAGTATGAAAACTCAATTTAAACCGCAATTATGAGCTGGCATTAATCTGAGAAGTGAGTCTTCTCCCTAGAATACGACGATTAGGACTGTGCAATCTAAAATGACAACTCTATTCGCTAAACAGGAGGTTCAGTAACAGATTGGAGGGATTCTGGATTTTGTACTCTGTGTGTTGTATGTGTCTCTATGTTGGTGTGCATGCACATATGAAAGAGGAAAAGAAGAGGACCGTTTAAAAATGCCTTGTGCATTGAAGAAATAATATGAACTGTTTCCTTATAATGTGAAGATGTAACATGATTAATCTGTTTCTTTTGGAACTGCTACATTATTAAATGTGCAATGGAACCTTGTGCCTTTGCTATAATCGTGGACATCAGTTCTACTTGATGATTATTATTTTTTTGCCATTTTATTTATCTATAATGTCCTGGATTTAACACCCATCAAAAGTGAATAGGATGGCTCTTCTGTGTCTCATTTTAGTTGCCTTATTAAGGAGGCCATTCATTTCACTGTTTGTTCCTGAGCATCACATTAACATTGTTCACTTCAACCCTTCTTTAACCAAGAATCTAAGAAACTACAAAAAAGAGTAACAATATCATCTGATTGCTACAAATGTATAAAGAAATTAATTGGGGGTGTTTAATAAGGATGAAGTATTGTAATGTAAAAATATATTACTAATATAGTATGCCATTGCGCTACAAAATATTTGTCTAATGCTCAGTAGGATTGTACAGTCAGTTCCTCATTAAGTACCTTGGATATGTGATGTAAAGAATGGATATTTTTTCCTCTGAAACTTTGTTTGGCTAAGTGGCAGCACCTAACTGATCTTGACTATCTTGAAATACAAAGTGGGATTAGATATGGCTAGATCTTAAATGGGAAATGACCATGGGAAATAGCAATAGCACTTACACTTATATACCACTTTACAGTGCTTTCCAGCCCTCTCTAAGTTGTTTACAGAGTCAGCATATTGCCCCCAACAATCTGGGTCCTCGTTTTACCAACCTTGGAAGGATGGAAGGCTGAGTCAACCTTGAGTCTGGTGAGATTTGAACTGACAAATTGAGGCAGCTGGCAGGCAGCAGAGGTAGCCTGCAGTACTGCACTCTAACCACTGCACCACCGTGGCTCATTTATAAGGATAAATAAGAATAAGGACAACAGCAAAAGAAGCTATGTTGAAAAAAGCAGTGGCAATTCAATTGCATATTATTGCCAATTAAATTGCCTGGCTAGGTTCAATTCTCTTGATTGAAGAGAATATTTGTAGCTCAGGGTTGAATTGTGGAGTCCATGGTGCTCTCTGAGTTTGGTGGGGGGTTTTTTGCAGGCATTTCATTACCAAACTAGGTAACATCATCAGTGCTTATTATCAGTGAACCAGTGACCACCAAGCTCTTGGGCAGGCAATTATTATGTATCTTTAACACTTGCCCTTTGGCTGAATTAATCATTTATATGAAATCTATTAAACATCTTAAAATATTATGAAAATTCATTGTATGATCATCCTATGTTTTAAATTTAGATAAATTTTCTTTTTTTTTTTTATCATCCACTTTATTGCTAAAATTGAGAAAACAATGCTTTTCTTTAACACTCACTTGGATTAAGTGGTACTATTTATCTTAAAATAGAAAGCCTAAGGAAAAATAGAGATTTAACTTCAGGCAAATTATACTCTGTTCACATCCAGTGCTGAATTGTAAATCAGCCTATTTTGATTCTAGACTAAGATTTGCATTTTTTCCCCAGCTTGCACATGTGTCATTTGTTTCTTTCTTGTTCAACATATCCCATCTTGAAGGTATAAAACAAAACTCAAAGTTTTGTTATTTTTAACCAGGGAGTGAGTGAGGCCACAGACTCCCTCTTCCCCAGTATTTATGCAGATAGCATGAAGACCAAGTTTAAACTGGGCACACATCAATACACACACACATACACAGAGA